TTCTTCTTCTTCTTCTTCTTCTTCTTCTTCTTCTTCTTCTTCTTCTTCTTCTTCTTCTTCTTCTTCTTCTTCTTCTTGTTTTCTGTATTCTGTAGATAAATAAATAAATAATGCTTTCCTTAACCTGTGAAATTCCTTTATATTTCTTTAATTTCCCAATATCCCTTTAAGACTCCATTCTTTGCCTGTCATTTATCGTATTTCTACCTACATTTATTTGTTTATTGTATTTTGGGGGCCATTAATTGTATGCTTATTTCCTTATTGAGCATTTATTTATTTCTGTATTTATTTTTAAATACGGCAGAGTTGGTCCTCCATACAAAAACACATAATCCTATGGAATTATAATGGACGGAATAATTTTATCTCTTTTTTTTTCTTTAAACATTCAATTTAAATACAGATAAATGTTGCTCGACCTTCCCACGCGGTAGGTCCATCTGAACTCCAGAGGGGGCAGCGTCGGTTGAAACTACGTCTGAGCGAGAAGCAGAAGAAGACCTTCAATCACAACATGGGGGCTGTTACTGACGGTAAGTGATAGTTCCATTTATTCTCTTAATCTTTTTATTAAAATATGTTTTGTTGACTCATACCAAACGATGTGAAGTATCAGCATAACTAATCGGTTCCATTATCACAATTCATTAAATTCTGTTCTCAGAAGTTAACTTATAAACCTTATAAACCAAGATGCTAATTCTGATTAGCTAAGCCAGAAGCTAACTTTTGGCCTGTGTGTTTGTAGACTCATTTACCTCCCTTGTCTGTTTTACAGATGAAGTTATAAGAAAGCGCCTTCTGATTGACGGCGATGGAGCTGGAGATGACCGCAGAATCAACCTGCTACTGAAGAGCTTCACTAAATGGTGCCAATCTCCTGGGAGCCCAGAGGAAGGGTGAGCTAAATGCACTAAATACACTCTCTAGTCCGCTGTGTTTCAACACAAACAATAAAACACCGATGGTAAAAATAATAAAACAGGCCAAAACTTATAAATATTACAAATTGGTAGATAAGGAGCCGTGAAACAATCTTGATACAGATGAAATGATGGCTCCGTTATACTTTACACTTCTTTTACTCAAAAGATACTTGTAAAGTCTGTATAAACACAAGTATAGGATCTGATATGTTCAGAACCTGTTCCCTGTCCGATCAAATTCCTTACTATCCAACAAAAAAGCCATAAATCCATGTGTAAATGTTTAATCCATTCTTTTATATTTACTGAGTTTTTGTATTAGAACTTTGCATGCAAATAAAGGAGGACAATATGTTTCAGACCGAGTAGGTGTAGAAAATAAAATGTGCATAGGAAGCATGTTTTTAGAATCAAGCTTTTATTTGTCTGTCTGTAGATTTACCCAGTATCAGAGGATGCTGGGTACTCTGGCTCAGTGTGAGTTTTCCATGGGGAAAACATTGATGGTTTACGACATGAATCTGAGGGAAATGGAGAATTACGAGAAGATCTACTCAAACATAGGTAAGGTTTGGTTTTTCTTAAATCCTCTTTTGGCAAATCATTTTTAAAAACCGTGTGTGTTTTTTTTGTTTTGAAGAACAAAGCATTAAGTCTGCTCATGACAAGATTGCAGAATGCAAAAAGGACATACAGAGGGCAAAGAGAATAAGGAAAAATCGTCAAGGTAAAGTTAAGTTTTATGCTCTTTCACTCTTTCTACAAAACCTTGGAGGGGTTTAGTGTGTTATACCGACATAAAGTGTGCATAACTGCAACATGGAAGGAAAATTATTTATGGTTTTCAAGCCTTTTCTTAAAAAAAGGATGATAAACAATCTAAAAAGTGCAGCATGCCTCTGTATTCAGACCCCTTAATGAACTAATACTCTCTTGTGCTACCTTTACAATTATAGTTTCAAGCTATAACTGTGGATAGCTTCCTCCCTCTATGCACATCTAGAGACTGAATATTACTCATTATTTACTGTACAGATGAAGAATAGTAATTTTTGACAGTTTTCTGTATTTAATATACGCATCAAATCAATCATGCCTGTCTCTGCTAAAGAAAAGGCCACTGCATAAAGCTTCTACCACTGTGTTAGACAGTGATGATATAGATTATTATCATACATAGTGCTCTTAGACCGAAAAAAATCTATATAGGTTTCACCCGATCACATTCTTTCAAAAGGCTGTATTTTGTTTAGGGATTTACTTGAACTTTTTATGTTTAGGTTTTTGGATTATTGTGAAAGTTTGCGTGCTTAACTGTTTTGTTCCCTTTCAGAATATGATGCTTTAGCAAAGGTTATCCAGCAGCATCCGGACCGGCATGAAACCCTCAAGTAAGTCAGCCTTTTATAATTACATTTATGCTGTTCATTAGTGTTTTTATTCTTTTTCATTTAGTTTTGTTTGCTTACAGGCAGCTTGAGGCATTAGACAAAGAACTCCAACAACTGTCGCACATTAAGGAGAATGTTGATGCAAAGGTAAACAATGTTTGTTATCTCTTATGTTCAGATGATTGTTGCTTTCTTATTCTGACAACTGTGTTCTGTTTAGTTGGAGTTGAGGAAGAAGCAGTTCCATGTTCTTCTGACCACTATTCAGGAGCTACAGCAGACGCTTGAGAGTAAGTACTTAGTTTATTTTTAACGGTACTTAAACTTTAAACTGCAGTCCTGGATCTATGAAGTCCTCTCTAAATTGCCCTCTAATTACCTTTTCTAGATGACGAGAAGTCAGACAGTGACGACCACTGTCAGGAGAGCCCTGCAGGGAATGGAGAATGAATGCGCACAAATCATTAGTTAAATGGATCTAGAATTTAAAAGGAACCAACTTTGCTATGGAATCATTTTTTTGTATCATGTTTATTAATAAAGTTGACTTAACCATATTTGTTTTATTTAACTTTACATCAAAGATGCACTGCCCCAGATTCTACCTTAAGAGCTCATTTTCATCTAGAGTCCCTTTGGCAGGGAGTAAGGGAATGAATAAGGTGCTTACACGAAAACAATTTATAACACAAGATTACAACAAAAGATCACAACATTGTTGATAATAAAGTACATGGTAGCACAGGAGC